CGCCAATAAATTGCTCAATGCGCACACAATGCAAGGTTACGACGATCGCCGCGGATAAATCGTCGATCCGCTTATGATACGCGCGCATAATCGGCGAAAAACATAAATTTCAACAGCTAATTAATTCTTTCTGTGCGATTTACGCGCCCGTGTTGAGCGTTTCTCACCGTGATTGATAATGCAAACGATTTGTGCGCCTAATTTATTGATCGCTAAATAGATTTGTATGAAAATTGCAACGTGGGTTTTCAAGAATGTGTTTTATAATCCAGTGAAAGAATCATGACGATATCTTTATTAGTTTTTGTGTTATTCTTGATTGAAGTTTTAAAAATTATTGTCAAAAGCAAAAATTTATTTATTTTATTCAAACTTAAATTACTAACAAACTATTTAATATTTTTCTTGGTTTTAAATACATAAGTATAGATAATTAATTTTTTTATAAGCATAATAATTTTTATATACAGGGTGTTATTGTAAACCATTCAAAAATCAATTAACATAAAATATTTTATTCTCAAAACACACAACTTCCTATTTTTCTGTTAAATAAATCAAAAATCGATATATTTAAATAAACCCTCATCTTTCTCCCGATGTTCCATGCCTCCTTAGAGACTAATATATTAAAAAGCACTTATCCGGAGCCAGAACGATCGAAAAATGATCCCTTAATCTCCTTGGTATCTACGGACGAGGGTCAGCGGTCAAGCGACGTTCGAAGGACCTAATCATAGGAGAATAAAAAGATATCCAAATAATACTCCTCGAAACGCACGGCGCGTGGGAGGCTATCAATGACATATCAAATTCTCGCTGATCCTTAGGGACAAGAAGGGACGAAATGACCACTGATAATCCCCAGAGTCCTGTATGGTTGGCTTTTCCAGTCTTGCAAAATTTTTGGGGTTTTCAAAACACATGCGTTTCAAATTACGCAAGAAATAAAATAAAATAATTTATAAAAATCAATAAAATATTTTTTAACACTTTTAAAATTTTTTCTGTAGATTTTAATAGATTACAAGGATTTCCATGATAAAAGACACAAGATGATAATAAGGATGCTATGAGACATTAGTCATTGCTGTACACGTTTTAGGGGGACACCTGCGGTGTTATCTATTGTATGGGGCCGACAGGACGCCGCTTCCTGCCTTCCTGCGCCATCCTGCTGTTCCCGCTGCAGAATTTGCAAAGCCGAGCTTTGCGGCGGCGACGGCGACCGCTAAATAGATTTTTATTACTTTTATTGCGACGTTTTACACACTCCGTGTATTTTATTGAGATTTACTGCGTCGCAGGAGAGCAGACTCCGGAAGGTTTAACAAACGAGGGTTGTATGTATGGACAGGTTGAGTTTCGGCAAGCTTTGAGCTTTTTTCTTATAGTTGAAGAAAAAATTAGTAGGAAGTCAATTTTAAATTTAAATTACTCAAAACACCCTGTATATTTTAGAGAGATATTTAAATTGGTATGCCTATATATGTATATTGTTTTTAATTATATAACTAAATATCGTTTGTAACTTTTGTTACCTTTTTTATAAATAATTATAAATAAAAGTTTGTTGTTTAGTCGGCTGTTGTAGTCTCCAATGAAAAATCAATTTTAAACTTAAATTACTCAAAACACCTTATTTGTAGAAACTTGATTTAAACATAAAATTATAGAGGGATAAATTATTTATATGCCCACTTAATTTTAAATACAGATAGTTTAATTAAAACTAATTAAAAATAAAAATGTAAAATAATTGATATTAAAAATTTTAATTTTAAGTTTAATTTTTCATTTGCAAGCTACTTTGATTTTTTAAATTGTTTAACTCTACTTTGTGATAATTATTAATAATATTGTAACATGTTTGACTTATTTTCATCAACTAATTATTAATTATGTCAAAAATAACAAGAAAAACTATTTTTAAATTTTAATAATAATTTCCTTAGAAAACACTGCTTATTTTCAAAAAAATCATTTGCCATCCTATACATGCTATAATTCTCTATAACATATTAAAAATTAATACCTCTAGCTTTACTACTTTTCTGTAAATTAACAAAAAACTATTTATTCTTCCCTACTCGGCTGTTGTAGTCTCCATGAAAACTAACCTCGCACAGCTTTGAAAATTAATGAATCAATTTGTATGTGACGCACAATCGGCTCAACATTCACTCGCTCGGCGATGAGTTGCGAGCCATTCTGCATTGTCCCAGGCGTTCGGTTTTGATCGAAGAGATTATTATATTATAAATATTGCCAACGACATCGACGACTGATTCATTGCGATCGCGATTCGTTATTGCATTCAACATTTTTAATCACCTGATTGTTTGCTAATCGTAGATGATGGCATTGCAGCATGTTATTGACGCATAAAACTTTTAAAACACAAAACGGACTTAAGTTAAGTAAAATGTGTAGTAAAGACTTAAGTAAGACTTAATGTGTTAAAAGTATACACAGGTGTTCATTGTAGGTCGTTCTAATTATTTAATATGTCGATAATTATTGTTATTATGAGTAATTATTGCCGGTTGAGTGATTGTGTTTGAAAGGTGTGTCGTTTTTAATGACTTAAATCCTTTTTAAATGTCAATTTTATTAAGTCTATTATTAAGGCAGTTGCGCATGCGCAGTAAAAAATAGGCGGAGCTCTTGACACCAAAAATATTTTTTTTGTTATTAATTAACAGTTAATAAAGCAGAATTTTGTGTTTTTATTAAATTTATTATTAAGATCAGTTGCGCATGCGCAGTAAAAATAGGCGGAGCTCTTACCAAAAATATTCCTTTTGTTATTAATTAAAACTGAATAAAAATAGAATTTAACATAAACATAAATTCACGACTTGTCGAATCGTAAAATAAATACAAAACGAAGGCTGAGCATAAAATGTAACAATTAACAATGTTGTAAGTTAATGACATAGCGGTGTGATTGGTTGCCTGCTCGTAAAATATGCTCTACGAAGCCCGAAATTGTATATAAGTATGAATCAACTCATACGAAATCATAGTTTATTGCTTTTTAATTAACAAAATCAACAAATCGTTAAAATTTCAAGTTTTCAACAAAAAATCATTAACTTTTTAGTTTACTAAACATAAAATTATGCACATGCTCCGCCTACTAACCTATACTATGAGTCTGATGCGTTTGCGCATGCGTATTAAAATGTTAATAATTATTTAATTAATTACGGCGGTGTGTGGCATTTGATCGGCTTGCGAATATGAAATGGAAAGGAAAATAAAAGCGCAAAGAGAAAAATTAATCCCGGACGATTAAAGCGCGGCGGCTCCGACAAACGCGCCGCGAATGGAGATTCGTTTCAATTTGCCGCCCGAACGGAATGCATATACACACATACGCGTAATTTACAATTTCCTATTTAATGATAATTAATAAAATTATTCCGACGCGCTTTTCGCACACTGCTTATAATCGCACATTCACATGTACACAAAAATACACCGAGAGGAAATATAGATACTGATATTTACATAAAAGTGTAGTGTAGATTAACAATCACTTCACGTGGATATTGTGGATATTGCGTATCGGTGTAATAAATATTATTGAAGAACTGGTAGTAGGTACTCTGGTGGCCGGATGAGAAGTTGTTGAGGAAAGTGAATTAAAGGCCTGAAGAGAGCTGAAATTGTAAACTTCAAAGTCATGCCGCCGTGGGAGATGCGTGAGAGAGTGTGCAAAACATTGTAATTTAATATTATTTTTAATTATCAGAGTAATTAGTGAAAATATAAAATTTTATAAAAATGGGAATATTTTAATTTTTATAATTGATTATGATAGTTTAGGTGATTTAATGAAGATTATTTTAGTAAAATATTTTGATAAAATGTTTAGTTTTAGAGATATTGATGTTTAAACATTTTTTTGAAAAATTAAAATTTTAAAAAAATTAAATTTTAGAATTATTGAGTTTTGATATATGCTTAAGTTAATTTGATTAATTTGAAGTAAAATATTTTAGTAACTTTTTTTCATTAAATTATTAATTTAGTAGTTATTGAGCAATAAACTTTTTTTTGCAAAAAAATTTAAAAATAATAAAAAAATATTTTTTAATTTTTAGTTTTTAAAAATAGATTATTCTAATTTGACTGTTTTAGAATAAATTATTTCAATAAAATAATTTAATACCATTTATAGTTTTCCAGTTATCGCGTTTGAAACTTTTTTTTTGACAAAATATTTTTGAAAAAAATATTTTTTTGAAATTAAATTTTTTTATTCCATATAAAGTTAATTTCACTAATTTAAAACATAATATTTAAATAAAATATTTTGATATCACTTACCATTTTCAAGTTATTGGCCCTCAAACTTTATTTTTGCTAAAATTCTCATTTTTTCATAAAAATCGCAAAAAATCCAAATAATTTTTAACATACGCGATAATGAATCAAGTATTTATTTATATTCATGTATATTTATAATATGTATAAGTTCATTTATGTATAGGTACACTATGCACTACGTAATACTCGTGTAAATATTTACAATTTATCATTTCACGGTTTTTGTTCAATTTTTGTTTCATATTTGCATAGTCAAGTGTTTAAAATGCACAAATCTTTAAATATCCAATAGTCAATGCATTAATTAATAAATTTCAATTGAATTAATGAATCATAATAAAACGTAATTCAAATTAAAATTGATTCCATTCACAAATAAAATATATTTTTACTTTAAAATGCTATAATTTTTCAAAAACTTGAAAAAATTTACGTTTTTCAGAAAAAAATAAAAAAAATAATTTGGAAGACAAAATATCATTAAAACAAATTTCAATTAATCAATAGTTTGGTAATTATTTAAATTAAAACCAAAAAACATTTTTTTTTAATTTTAAATTTTTTTGTTTGCAATTAAAATTATAGCATTTTTTAGTTGAACCTAAAACAAAACACAAAACACAAAACAACAGAAACAAGGCAAAGAAAAACAAAACGTGTACTTCCTGATAAAATTTTCGTCTTATATTTTTATTATTGCAAGCAAATATTTTCATCGATTTTCCACACATCACCTGCCAGCTCGTCGTCAAAACATTTTAAAGTATTATCTTACTGGAGAGCAACAATTTCGAACGCACAAATTAAATATTCGTATAACCTCTAATTGCGTTATCGTTATCAAATCGCGTTAAAATTTAAATTGTTCATTAGTCGAAAGATGAATCAAAATGTTATCTTTTCAGCTAGATTTACACATTAAAAAAGGAACTTTTTGAAAGTTGTCGTCGCTTAATATACATTTACAATTTAATTTACATTTATATAGTCACAGATGCATTTATTTGACGCAAAAAGTAAATTTTTCATCGTTTTGTTTGGTTTTTCGAGAATAACTCAAAAACTATTTGAGATAAATTAAAAATTTATAGAGATTCTTGTTAAGCATTAAATTTTACATCAATTTTGTTTTTGATATAAGTGACAACATTTTTTTATCAATAGTTATCAAGCAATTTGTAAAAAAATTATAAAAATTTTTATAGTCAATTTCAAATTGCAATAACTATGTGTTTATCAATTTAAACATCAAAACATTTGCTGAATTATATGTAAAATTTATTACTTTATCAAACACTGAAAGAATTAAATCGTTATCTCTGTTAGTTTTCGAGTAATCAATAAAAAACTAAAAAATTTCTTGCGTCAAGTAAAACCATCGCGACCCGCTCACATTCTCTCACTCGCGTAGTAATTCTCTCATCATGTATACAGTACAATGTTTAAACCTAGGACTTTATACACTTTTACATTCCTCGCAATTTGAAAAACTTGTCTTTACACATTTTTATAAGTTTCCCAAAGGTGATGATGTTTGGTTGAGGTATTTGCAATAATCTGTCAAAAAATGTTTAGAAATATCACTTTACATTTATACAAATTTCATTTTTCCCCCACTCCTGCCCGCAAGCACCACCATCGCTTAGTTCCTGCTGCATTACACACTGTTTATATTACTTACTCAAGAATTGGAATTATTTAATTTAATAAAATTTGTACTTTTTTGTTTCTCCTCAATTATTACAATTAAATTTGTTTAATTTGCATCAAAGTTTGAGTAGGTTGAGTAGTTTTAAAAAGCACTTTGTGATTCGTGAGTACGGACACACCTTTAATGTTTATTTTAATATAGTTTTTAATAATTGTTTTTTTTTTCTGTGTGGTTCATTCACTATTATTGATTCGGTTTATCCACTTTTTCATCGTTGTTGTTTTGCTTTACGTCGAGACCGTTGACCATCTTCTCGATACTTTTCAAATCATTAGGGCTGGCGGCAGTTTCGGGTTTGGGTGAAACCGTGCTGGACCTCACCGGTGGTGGTGTGGTTGACCCTCCACGAATGGTACGACTACTCGGCGAGTTGCTTAGGGAACGAGTATGATGACTGCTGGGAGTGACAGTTTCAAAGGCGCTGCCGAGTGGAGAAGACATTGCACCTGCTGCTCCACCGCCGCCACCGCCACCAGAGGGCAGTGTGTATGGTGTGAAGCGATGGCCGCCCTTCAGGTGGTTGTGTAGAGAGGTAGGTGATAAGTGGTGGGGGTTAGGATGCGCTAGATTAGAGTAGTGGCTGAATAATGCTGGATGTTGAGCGGCGAGGGCCAGCTGAGCGTTGAAGAGGAGTGATGGGTTCATGGTTGGGTTGTGTGCGCCGGTGAAGAGCGACAGGGGTGGTGCGAATGGAGATGGTGCACCCGCACCTGGGTACATACCGTGGGGGTATAGGTAGGGTAAGAGGTGAGGTGGTGGGTGAATTGGAGGGCCTACTGAGATGTTGGGTGATGGGTATTCACCGGGGTTTGAGGGGCCTGGGCCGTCTTTTGTTGGTGAGGACCCGCGAGGTCGGAAGGCTGTGCTACCGGGGACTCGGAGCAGGAGGATTCTGAACCGGAATCGTCGTGGAGACGGCGTCTAATGTCGTCTTCATGTCCTGAAACAACAGAAAACTCTAAATTTAAAATTTTGTGCGAATTTATTAAAAAATGTAGGAGATATGAGCATTTTTCTACTGTAAGTTCAATTTTAGCTAAAATGCACTTTTGGTTTTTAGTCAATAACTCTTGAACCAATAAATATTTTTGAATGCTCTAAACGCCATTTTGTCTTAAATTTAATTATCTATTAGAGTGATTATTATAATGTATTAATAATTTAATGTAACTATTATAAAAAGGCAAATTAAATCACAAAATACTAATTTTTAAACAATTAATTAACTTTAAACCAAAATAATTCCTACTTTTAGTAATATTATGTAATGGGATAATCTCCTATCATCAAGAGAATTTAATTTTGTATTGATTTCTTTTATTTTTTATCCAATAATATTGTTATCTAATAGAGATACAGAGTGATTTATAAAAAAATGTGTTGCAATTTTTTTAAATTTTGATTTAAAAACACCGTAACTACCTAACTAATTAAACTAATTTAATTTTGTAAATTGTATATGAATACTCAATTCTTTATCTTTAAAATGCTTTTTATTTCATGTTTCTACCCCTATTTTAACCCTATAAAAATTTAATTTTCCAAAAAAATCAATTTTTTTCTTCCTTACCTGAGAGATTCATTGAAGCAATCGACGTCTGCGGATGCAAACTAGGTCTAGGGCTATCAGCAGTACCCACAACATCCAATTCCGAGTCGTCCGTCTTGGAGACGGTGGAGCTGTCGGCGGACATGCGCGCCGGCAGCGGATGCGACGTCTTCTCATCCGGATGCCGAGACGCCAGCAACGCCTGCCTGTAACAATTTAGAGCAAATCCGATTAGAAACTGCGTTGCGCCGCAATAAATAAAACTTGCAAAGGCTTGGGGGCGGCAGGGCGGCGACGCACAGGGCCGCGAATTAGGAATGGAAATTCGGTGCACTTTATGCACACCCACGCGATCATCGCAAACACAGCGGGCGGCCGCGTCGACAAAAGGACATAAAAGCGAATTTAGTGGGGTTACAAAACGGGTCAGGGCATCGAATGAATAAATTTGCATTGTAAGATCTTCAAAATCGCGTAAATATTTAAATTTTTGGTGATTTTCCGTCTTTTTTGGAGGTTTTGTTGGGTTTTACGGAATTTATTGTTCATTTGTGTTAATTATTGCGTTGTAATGAGAGAACCACTTGGGCGTTATGGTTGAAATTTAGTACGGATGAAGATAATATAATAATGCATCTATTTTGCAAAGTACAATAAAATATCTTGAATGGTTTCGCCGTTAGATGGCATTATCTAATCATTTTCAAAAAAACGTATTTGTAACATTTTGTATTAAAATGTTGATAAAATGCGTTGTAAATAGAGAACCACTTGAGTGATCTATTCGAAATTTGGTGCAGATTAAGATAATATAACTATGCACCTATTTCCAAAAGCATGAAAAGATATCATATATAATCTCGCCGCTAGATGGCATTAAGTGAACATTTTGCAAAACGCAATTTTTGTAAATTTTGTATAAAAATATTTATAAAACCCGAACTAATGGTCCAAAATCCTCAAAATTTGGCACCCACCCTCCTAAGTAACCAATCTATTACCAATAAAAATTTCATCCCTATACATAAATTATTCTCAAAGTTACAGCATAAAATGTCCACTTTACTATGACTATCACAAAATAGTCTCCTTTGATGCGGTAAATAGAATAGCAAATTATCTCAACACCAAGGGTGACAAATGCTGCGACAGTTTGGCGTGCGCTGCCCTTTAATCAACTAATCGCAGGAATATTAAAAGCCACCGCTCGTGAAAATGTAAATTGGGGATGACACCGCCGGAGTGAGACACTGCCGGGGCGAATATAAAACGTTTAAAGTTTGCATTGCATTAGGAAGCGCGTCGCGCGCCAAGGGAGCCGACCCGCAAATTGTCGCCGACGGGGTCTTCGGGGGTGGCGCGCCCGAAAAGTTGCGTTACAATTTTCCGTAATTGCGAGCAGCGCGCGAAGAAAGGACACGGCCGGAATTAGAATCGAAACAGACGTTCCGGGGTCGGCGTGCATTGTGGTGGTGAGTGGTGGTTGGCATTTGGTGTTTTTAAGGTCAGCTACTCATCAATTCGCAATATACAGGGTGAAAAATACTTTTAGACTTTTCATCTTATTTTGGGTCTGGGGGCTAAAATATTGAAGGGATTTTGTTCAAATTTTCAGAAGATCTATTTGATAAGAGTAGGTAGCTGATACCATAAAAAAATTGTGTTTTGACAAGTAAAACGGCCGCTAGAGGGCGTGAAACTCCATATAATCTATTTTTAATCACCAGAAAAACAGCATCAGCATCATATTTTTACTGTACAAGCCAAACTATTCATCAAAACCTAACCAAATTTCACATCCACCCTTTCAATAAAACAATCTACCCTTGTTCTAAATTTGACTATAATAAAATTAATATTTTGGCCGCTAGATGGCTCCAAACATGAGTTTATAATTGAAGCCCGCAAAAATATCCACAAAACATTCAATATTCTGCCAAATAATGATTTCACCACCCTGCTTAACAATGAATCGGATACACAAAAGGGTATTTAAGGCTATGTTACGTTTCGGCATTAGGGTGCGTTTAAATTCGCCCGGCCGATGCGTTTTTTATATTCGCGTGCGTTTAGTGAGTTTAGTCATTGATACAACATCGCAGTCTGCACCCTATTCAATAGAGTTGTTCCGGAATGCAGGGTTGTGCCATAAGGGTGAGAAACACATTAGATACTTACTTCTTTTCCCGCTTGCCGGCTCCGGTGTCGCGGAATCCTTTCGCAAATGGATTATTGTCGATTTTCAATTGGGTTATCTGCAAAAACAAACAAAAATGTTTAATAATTAATTTAAGAGGGTTGTAATTATTGGGTCATGACCAAATTTGGTACAAATATTAACAATGATACTAAGAAAGTAGACTGATTTTTTGTTGGATGATATAATGTTTGGTTTGTCCGCTAGATGGCAATATTTGTATTAAATCAGTATTTTTGAAAATAATTCTTTTTCACCCTATAAGTCAATAATGGGTCATCTAAAAATTCTGAAATAATTCATGTATACTTTAAGGTAACCAATATTACTTTGTGCCAAATTTTATTAAAATTCATTGATTAGTTTCCAAGATATTTGCTTGTAAAATAAAAAGTTTATTAAAATTCTAGGAACTTACCTTCTCATTTTGATAAGCAGTAACAGCAATAAATTCGGTCTCTTTGAAGACATACGTCCGGAAGGTTGAGTAGGGCAGCTTGAGAATATCATTCGCTCGCACAAGATGAAACCGCGGCTGGTATTTGTGCATTGAGTTCAGTATCGTCTGCAAAAGAACAAAGCAACACGTGTTAATCCCAGAAATACTTAAAATAATCATCGAAATTCGGCATAAAAACAACCACCACATCCAAAATACATGCACACACATTCATTTTTATTTATACCCAACACTTTTCGGCATACTTTACGCGCGGTGTTCCTCTCAAGGCCCGCCGAAGTGACTTATTAATTAGCGGCGCGCCGAGCGCTGTTCGCACGGTAAATTCGCGAGTTTACGATCAATCCGAGCCGGCGAGCGCGCATTTTACGATCGCGTCGCGGTCCGGTTCGCGCCGGCCGCATGGTGTGAGGTATAAAATATTAAAATAATAAACGCGCCGCGATTAATACACCGTCGGACGAGGCGCGTACTGAAAGAAACGCCGCCGCCATTTCGAAGGTAATCAATGCGCTGGATTTTCGCCGTAATCGCACGAACACTGCGGCATATTTAAATTATAACATGTGCTGATATGTGTTGTGTTTTATAGTTCATGAAAATAACATGAAAAGTATTAAAATTTGAGTTTTTTTTTGGATGAAAAATTTGTAATTTTTGTTGAAAAATTTTACCTTGAATTTGACTTAGAGTTAAATATGGTTACTTTGCTTCAATTTTGCTCAAATTTGGCACAAAGGTAAATAATTTAATTAAGTTTAATCACGAAAATTTTCAGGGTGATATGTTGAATAGTTTAGTCGCTAGATGGCGACAAATGAAAAATTGTTAATACTGCAATTTGAATTTACTTATTTTACATTTTACCCCGTAACTTTTAATCCCTTGTATATATTTACTTCAAATTTTGTAAAACTACTTACAGGTATATTATCTAGCACAGTACCAAAATTCAAATGGATCCGTTATATAGTTTGCCCGCCAGATAGCAATAAGTAAAAAGTTTTAAGAGGAGCAGGTAATTTTTATTTGTCTTACGTTTTACCCTGTAACTTTGCACCTTTTTAATGGATTTTTTTTTTAAATTTTAAACAAATATTGCTATAGGGCATATCTATCTATGGTATAAAATTAATTAATTTGTTGTAATTATTTAAAAAGATATAAACAAAAAACTAAAAATGAAACTTTTTTTAACACTTTTTCTTCTTTTGCTTATAAAAAACTACTCTTAAATATAATTTTCCCAAAACTTTGTACACATATTGTTAGATAGATAATCTATACCCTGACAAAATTTTATTACAGTGTCACCCCCACAGAGTGAAATACAACACGTTTAATTTCCGTTGCGTTACACTCAATTTTTACGTTTCTCGCTAAATTTCCACCGTAACTCATCCGAATTGCAAGCATCCCGATGCTTTTCATCCCCCAGCATATCGTCTGCTAATTTAATTTATCGCCAGACTCCCCCTTCGCGCGCCCTCCACATCCTTCGCGTATCGAGCGGCAGCGCCGAAATAAACGAGGCGTTCTTAAAGTGATAAAGTGGGGTTTCCTACTCGACCGATCATCCCTTACACATCCCTCTCTCAATAAAACATCCCTTACAAGACACAAGACGTTTTGGCATAGTTACAAATATATCCAAAGTGAAATCCGCCAAAAAATATAAAATTTTTCAAAAAAATTTAAAATAACACTCTGTATAAATGATTAGTCTGCTGGAATAAGACGCACAGACTCAACCCTTATGTCCTCTTGTGCTCGCCTTTGCAAAATGCGATGGTTGGAGCGAGAACAGGAATAAAACTCGTTTTAGTAAGACGAAAAAAAATTGTGTGTGGTGGAGGTGAATGCGTGTGAGTGAAACGGCCGGTGGTGAGGAAGGAAGAGGGGCAGGAAGTCGATGCGAAACGACCGCGAATTTAACCACCACCACCCTTCGCTGCGAAGAAAGGATCGATGTTGCGACTTCCTGTGCGAGTCGACGCGAACATACGATTTTTTTCACTGCATCAGCACGAAAACCACCCTGAATATCGTAAAAATCTGCTTGGATTGAGTAAAAACTGAGAGATTTTTTACTATTTTGAGTGTTGTGATAAGACGGGTTGAGATAAAGTGATTTTTCTTAGTAATGGTTATAAAGGGTTAAATTACCTATAATTTGATGTATGGTAAGTGTTTGTAGGTTGAATAGTTTAAGAGTTATTGCAATTAAAAGTTGAGCAATATTAATTAATTACTGTTTTATAGATCAGTTGAGAGTTTATTAGAGAAATTGTTTAGTTTTTTAATGATAACTTAAAAACTATAAAAGATATATTAATTTTGTAAATTGAAGATGAAAACTATTTAAATTTTGCATAAAATAGTTTTTTTTATGAAGTTTCTAGACGTTTTAGTTTTAACGTGAGAGGGCGTTGAAGTTGACTAATTTCAAAATATGTTTTAGTTTACATTTTCTGTTGTAACTTTTAAAGTTTTTAACAAAATTAATTTCTGTAAAATGTGTTTTATAGCTTATTAAATTTCCTTTAATATAAAAATTATTTTATCATAATAGCTTAATTTTTGTGGCCTGTAGAGCAGTTTGAAAATCAGTTTAAAAACTCGCTTTTTTTGTAACATAAAAATTTGCATAAACTTGTATCTAAAACTAATTCTAACGATCGACGCTCGTCCGGTAAGTGTTAATCTTCGTGTCGCGGCGGTGGCACGCGAGAAAACACGCGCGCCGCGGCTATTTTCAAGCCACTTTCGTGCCCACGCCGCGGATTTACGGAAGATTACAAGACGGCTTACGCGGTGCGCCGTAAGCGCATAATTTAATTACTCGCGGCACGATATTCGAACTGGGTCACTTTTCCACACCACGAACGCATCCTAAACACACAACAACAACAACAACAAAACAAAACTCGTATTAATACCTACATGTGTCACAAATTAAAAACATAATTACAAAACGCAATATTTTGTTATGTTATGTTTACAAAAGTGTTATCAGGAGCAGTGGCGGCGTTTGATTGCCACTATCAACTATCACGATGTGTTATAATTATAATTAGTTCGATGTGTTGACCTCTGTGGACGCGCGCGTAATGAGAGTGTAATTTTAGTGCCGATAGCGGCGCCTTTATTGCGATATGTTGACAATTATCGTGGCGAGTAAAAATCTTCTCGGGACATTCGGTGCGTGATTTTTACGCCGGACAAATTATTTATCATTATCGCATGTGCTGCGGCAAGGCTTTGATCTTGAACCGCCGGATGAGAATTAAATAATATACTCGCATTACATGTTTAATTGCACGGAAAAACAAAATTTTTATTTTTTAATTTTAAGGGTGTAAAATGTGGTAGAAAAAAATTCAAACACATGGTATGTAGTAGGATAAATTTTCTACAAAATGAAACTAATTTCATATTCCTAGCATTAATCATCCCTTAATTACCGCCCTTTGAACATGAGACGTTGTTAAAGTTTGTTACTCTTTGATTTTTTTGCACAAATTTGTAATTTTCGGTATGAAATATTAAAAATTTTGAAAATGTTATAATGTATGTTAAACTAGAATAAATTCTGCTTCATATGATGTATTATTCATATTTTTAGCTTTTATCATTCCTGTATAATCGACATCTAAACTTGACATTTTATTTAAGTTATTTACACTTTGATTTTTTGAACAAATTAATAATTATTTATAACAAACCTTATAAATTTTAAAAATATAATTTAACTATCTTAAACTACAATAAATTCTGCTTCATATGACGTTTTATTGTTCTTTTTATCTCTTATCTACCCTTAATTATCGCCTTCCAAAGTAAAAAGTTAATTTTACGACGTAAATTTTATGTTTTTCTTTACTAATTTATAATTTTCAGTATGAATTCATATAAATTATAAAATTATCAAGTTCTAAATTAAAACTAGAATAAATTCCCTTTCATATGGCGCTAATTTCAACCCTCTACGTCAGCCCAAACGTAAATTATCGCTCCCTAAACTGAAAAGTCCATTTTGGATGTCTCGTCTGCGCGTCTAATTCGTGTTAATAACGGTTTCGTGCGCATTGCGTATACTGCGTTCGTGTGTGCGTCGGTAACAAATCCGTGTCCGATTGTAAAATGTCTCTCTAAAACTTCCCCGGCGGCGGCGCGGACATAAATTTTTCGAATGGCCTATAATTAGTGGAGATTTAACGACGCGCGAGCGCGGAAACAATGGCCGCCGAGGAAGGAAACACGTGAAAACGAGAAGTCTACACAGGTATTCTAATGCATAATTAAAGATTCTGACCGATTAATTAACGATCCCCGGCGCGGTGGAAACGAGGGCCAGACATGCGCAACGAACAAAAAACAAACGGACGATGGACAACGCACAACAACAACGTCCGAAATGCCGAAAACAATAGGTGGCCCACACGAAAAAACGACCATTTAATACTAAGTGTTGTAAAATGTACTTTTCAGTTTGATCGAGAATAACTCCTAAACTAATTATGATAGAAACATTTTGTAAACGTGGGTTTATGAACAATTTATTTGTGTATAAAAACCCGCAAAAATATTTCGAAAATTTTAAATATTACAAAAGTTATTGCAAAAAAACTATGATGATGCAAAATTTAAATTTTCAAAATGTAATGTTTTTTCAAAAGCTAATAACTCCTAAAATAAACAAGATATAATCTTCATTTAAAGTCATATTTGTTAATAATTAAACACTCTATCTGACGACGTTTTGAAAAGTTAAGTACCTACCCCTATTTTCACGTAATCATCCCTTAAACTTGAACTTTCATTAAATTTTTTAAAATTTTGCTAAAACAACGTTTTTCTCCAACATTCAGTGTATTAATCGGCGCTACGCATTTGTAATCGGATATCTACATACATACCCACACACACAAACCCATTTAGGGGTGGTAGTGGTGCCACCCTCGTGTTGACCAACGTGGGCCCGTGTTTTAGTCGACTTTTTCGGCCAGATCGGCATCGATTGATAACGGAGCGCTCGTTTGTTCGAACAATCGAGCACACGCCCCCTCCGACCGCCCCCGCCCCAGCCCGCAACCCTCCAAACA